CATGTTGTATAAAAAATTTTTTTCTTTTTTTTTTTTTTTTTTTTTTTTTTTGGGTGGTATTTACTTTCTCCTATAAGTTACACACCTTATGTAACCAAAGTAGAAAACACTCACAGTGATCGATATAAAGTGCTAGGAGTTGCTCAAGCTTTACAAAAAATAAACAACTAAAGAGATTGTGCGAGAATGATCCGTTTGTTATTTTGAGTTGATCATAAACATTAAACAAGAAGAGACCAACTAGTAAACATCAACCTAAGAATTTACCACCACAAAGTGGCAAGTGCTTTGAAAATTCTTTGGGAAAATGTTTACTAATCTATCTTAAAGGGTTGCACAACAAAGGTGGTTGCTCTTTGTGAAATGACAATAAAACGTTGTGTACTGGGCATCAACAATGAAAGAGCTGAATTAATTTGTCTGTTTAGTAACTTAAACAGAAAAGGGATTAAAACAAACTTAATGCAGAAACTCAATTTCATAAGCATAGTAACCTAGGCAACGAAAATTACCTTGTTCAAGCAAGGTTTCATAAGCCAATGAAGCATTCTTGTTGCTGGAGAAACTGGCTTGGCTGTACCCAAATGATGAAAGCTCCGTGTAATTGGTTAAGGACTCCTTAGAGGCCGAGGGCATAAAACCCAAGTCTGAGGCAGCATTTGCAGATGGGTACTGTAGAAAATGAGAATCCTCAACAAACTCCAAGAATGAATAAGGTGCAGTGGAAAATGGGTCATCTTCCAAGTTGATATCAGACACGGGTTTGAGCATGGAAGCACAGGGGTCTGCTGAAATCAACGAAGACCAAGACGGTTGGTGAGAAAAGGTGTTCAATGAAAAGGGCTGAGCTGCAGGTGACAAACGGGACTGAACTACTGACGATGAAGCTCTCTTTCCATGGACATCCCCCTCCATCTCTACGCAATGAAGTTCCAGTCAACCAGGTGGTCAAAACCCCCTTGCCAAACAAAAACCCAGACCCAATATCAGAGAAATCATTGCATTTACTCAAGTGAGTGAAAGTTAAAACTTTTTAGCTACCCATGAATATTGATAAGCAAAAGAACTCTAAACTTAGCCAAGAAGGCAAATTTAGAACATACCTGTTGCAGAGGAGAAGCAAGCAAAGACTGGTAGAAGCACGGAGGAGGAGGATGTGCCTTTTGATCAAAAGAAGAAGGGGTCTGTTGGTCTTCCTCTAATTATTAATTAATTTGCAACAAACAAGGAAGCGAATTTGTTTGTTTTTTAGTTTTTTTTTTTTTTGGGTAAAAACAGACTCGATTTTGGTTCTTTGTATATTCACCCTTTGACTCTGACTCTGTATTGTGCCTCGAATTTTTGTATAATTCTCTTCGGGTGGATAAGAATTCATATAACTTTCTATTACAGATTAAAATGTGTTTGTTTTCAAACCCTGTTCTCTAATTTTGGTTTTTCAGGTGTTTATAAAGTTTTATATCATCTCCGAAGTTTAGGAATTCGACACGGATTCTCGTTGTAATTTTTTTTCACTTCAAATTTTTTGTTTCTTTATTTGTTCATATGGGATATACTAATTCTAAAGAAAAACTCAAGTAATTGTAGAGTTTTTACTGGGGAATGGTTAAGCAGGTGACAATGAGTCAACTGACTTTGAATATTTTGCCAATAGAAAACAAGACCTAGTTGTTTATATATTTGTCGACCTTTGAGCCAATACCGTGAAAAAGCGGACATCTCTTATATTCCTTGCAGACCAAACAGTTAAAGACAAATTTGATTTGACCTGTTGCCTTAGGAACGAAGAAACAAAAAGTCCCTGTTGGCTGTTGCCTTCATGACCAAGTTCAGAGGAAAATTCCTAGCAAGTTTAGGCCTGCTTTTCCCATGGAGATGTTTCCCACCAAGTACAATGGCAGAATATTTATTAATTTCATGTTCAAAACCTGTCCCTGTTGGCTGTTGCTTTCATGACCAAGTTCAGAGGAAAATTCCTAGCAAGTTTAGGCCTGCTTTTCCCATGGAGATGTTTCCCACCAAAGTACAATGGCAGAATATTTATTAATTTCATGTTCAAAACCTCTTTCAGGCTGATGAGCTGAAGAGAGAGAGTGAATTAGATGAGAAACCCTCTTGGTGGTGCAATTCAATTTCCCAAAATTTTATACAGGAGTTGCAAAGCCAAAAAAAAAAAAAAGGAGTTTTGGTCAAGTCCTGATAGGATTGAAGATCTTTTCAGGGCAACCAATCAGAAAGGGAATCAAGGTGCTTTGAATGACCACCCGAGATGACAAGGCTGCACTGAAATCCCTTTCAACTGTAATGTGAAAACGCCAAAATAATCACCATCTCAGCTCAGTTGCTGTCATTATCAAAACAATAATTCCAAACAAACAAAAAAATATGAAGTTGGGTAAAAGAGGAAAAAACAAAAACCAGTAACATACATCTAAGTCCTTGAAATTGCTCCATTGAATATATTCCCCACTCCTACAAATATTCAGCATAAAACCAAGCCTGCATACTGTACAACACTAAGATATGGAGATGGACAGATTTCTTCTTATTTTTCTCCAAACCATATGCACATGTACTAGTTAACAACAACATATAAAAAGTACATAAGATCATGATCATGGAACATGTTACATAACATAGCACATAGCAGAGTCACATGAGGCAACAAGCATTAACATTATCATCATTGAACATGTTGCTAACTTTGTCATCCCCCCTTTGAGTCACTGGAATTGTCCCATGTTTGTCCCCAACATTGTAGCCATGCCTATAGTAGTTGTAGCTCTCTTTGAACTCATTGATTGTGTCCTTGAAATAGTCACCGGATGATGTGAAGTACAAAGGAGGGTTGGGGTAGGGCCAGAACTCTGCCCTCTTTCCAGCCCTCCTCACTGCCTTGAGAACTTTGTTGCGATCAACGTACCCGATTACCGTCACCTTTTCCATCGGTAGGTCTACGTCCACGGAATCGATCCCTGAGTACACAGAAAATTGATTTTACTGCAGAGTTTTACATATTAATTAATTAGCTGTATGTCACAATTGATTATTTACCTCTGAGCTTGAAAATGGCATTTTTGACAACCCTCTCACAGCCAGTGCAGCACATCCTGACTTTGAGCTCCACAGTCTGTAAAGCAAACACGGTTTGAGAATCTGTTCTGTTCTTGCAAAAAGTATGTTTTAGTTTTTACTTGTTTATTTGCTGAACTTTCCTTCCTTTCTTTGATTCCTTCGTTCCTTTTGTTGTTTCAAACAGCTTTATACTTTTGGCAGTTATTAATTGGAAGCCAAAGGGATTAAGAAAAGCCATGTTGGGTACAAGAAACGTGGTTTAAGAGATCAATACGTGACAAACAAAGATTGTGACATGGTTGGAGTTTCTCCACCATACCAATGGTTCACTGAAACCATGATATTTATAACTCTCTGCACCGCTTCGGACAAGTTTTCTCAAATGTTTTTCTCTCTACTTTTGATGAGAAATATATATGTTCTTCTTTGTTTTGCATCTATTTCCTTTGCAGCATGAATAAGACAAGCAGAGGCTTCATGCTGCAACTATGTGAGTGTTTGTGTGTGTATAGGATATATCTGACTAGCAGGATGAATAGCATCAAACACATGAAGAAGAGAAGCCATATAGATAAAGAGAGATAGAGGGAGGAAGAGAAGCCATGCATGGTGATGAGATACCTCAGAAGATCGAAAACAAAATAATTGAGACGAAAGCGAACCTGCAACGAAAGGGGCCGACCCTTTGGCATGTTGTGTTTGATTTTCTTGAAGTGGCTGTTGCTTTTGTAATGGTGATCCGGGTAGTCAAGGTAAGAGAAGTATGCAATGGATGATATGATAGAGCCAAATGTTCTCTTTAGTACCGTTGCCATGACCAAGAGCTAGTTGTGTGTTATATATACAAAGAAAGAAAGATGGGAAACTTAAAGACAAACCCAGCCCTAGAAGATATTCCTTTGTAGCCTTGGCATCCCTTTCCTCGTGTTTTTGATCTCTTCGCAATATATTCCAAAGGTGTCTTAAACAATTCCAAGTTAGCAGTTTCTTGGGGTTAAATTCTATGGTTTTATTTTGGGGATAAGAGACTCCCAAATAATTAGAACTTTTAGACAGGGAATGGTATCTAAATCCTCACATTAATGCTTGAAATGTGGGTCAAGCTAACATGGCAGCTGACACAGAGGAGAATATCAGCTCTTGTAGGGATATGGATGAGCTTATAAGGAATAGGAAAGACGGCTTTTGATGCAAAGGGGACATATATTCTAAATATCTTCTCTCTTTCTTTTTTAAACCAGCTTTGAAAATCACTTACACACAGCATGCACCATCTATCTACAAAGTTATATTCCCACATTTCTATTATCTATGCCTTCTAGTCTATGTTGGTGTTCTTCATTTCCACAAGCCTATTAGAAATGGAATCTTTTGGGTTCTATACTTTTTAGTTAAAAATATAACTTGGAAGCTCTACCAATAAACTATGCCATAAATAAACTGGTACACTAGCATTCAGAACCACCAAAGTGCTCAACAAAATGATGGCATTTTGTTCCTTCCGGCGGGCGGCGGCCACACCAGACCACACATACCAGAAAACATGTATTTTGGGTCCTATACATGTGATTTGTTTACAGATAAACAAATAATGGACATGGCTAGTTGGTGTACTTTTCTAGCAGCTTCTTGTTCATGTGTTTTAATTTATATTATCCATAAATTCTCAGAAAATAATGCTCTACACGTAATCACACGTATATGCCGTTTTTACTAGTTATTAGTGTGGAATTCTGGTTTACCGAATAATTCTGGTTTAATGGGAAGGTTTGATGCTTCAATTGTTCTGCCTTTACCTGCATTCTGATAACATCTCCCTGCATTATTGTTTAAATTTCGGACAAAAGTATTTCTCATGCCATGGCAAACTTTAGGAGACAAACAGTACAAAAGAAAGAATCTCACATTTGAATATAATAATTGATAACACCTCTATGTTCTTGAAATCAAACACTTTCTCAAGTGTTCTTAGGACAGTTGGAAAGGCAGCGCGCAATGCACACGTAAAATCTAGAGGTTCTAATCCCAATTATAATTTATATTAGGCATCACATGAGATGAGATCATGTTATTCTTAAGCAGAGAATTTGGTGATGTAGTTCCATTTGATTGTTTTCCTATACAAGGTGCTCACATAGATGCCTGGTTTCGGACATAAAAATTTGATAAAATTGGAATGAAACTTAAGAACCAGATTGGACACTTGCAGTTTCAACCAGAATTTTCTCTACCCTACATCAGAAAATTCTAGAGTTTAAAATCTTTCAGTCCACCTGGATAGCATGCTTGAACAAAATTTGTTCTTCTCTCCATATCCCACCGAACTTAAGAACCAGATTGGACACTTGCAGTTTCAACCAGAATTTTCTCTACCCTACATCAGAAAATTCTAGAGTTTAAAATCTTTCAGTCCACCTGGAGAGCATGCTTGAACAAAATTTGTTCTTCTCTCCATATCCCACCAAAATTTGTAACTTAAATTTGGCAAGCACCTAATCAGCAGGGGAAAGAAAGGAAATTTGTTTTAACAATCCTGCTTTAGGGACAAATTACAGTTTGACATGTGTTTACAAACTTTCCTTTTTGTGATTTTAACGACTTACTTTTGCATATATGTCAATATGTGATTTGCAGTTAAAGAAGGAATGACTCTTAACGAGTAAGAAATCAAGTAGTGCTCGAAAAGAAATAAAGTAGGCATGCTTGACCAAAATTTGTAACTTAAATTTGGCAATCACCTAATCAGCAGGGGAAAGAGAGGAAAAATACCATTTCTCCTTGCAGATAAATCACCATTTGATATATGTTTAGAAACTTTTCTTTTTGTGATTTTAATGAGTTATTTTTGTATGTGTGTCGGTTTGTGGGCATATATAATACAATAAAGTCTTTGAGCATATAACCATTCAATCTACGCATATATGGTAAGAGGAGGGTGTGATATCTACTAACAAATTGATCCTAACTTTCTGAATTACAATCTCTTGCCAAAATGAATGCATCACTTATCTCTTGGTTTGCCATTTTCACCTGAAAGCAGCAAAATTTTGCATTCCAATTTGTGGTCACTTTCACTTGAATTGCACACAAATCTAGTGGGGAATACACACAAATTACTCATGTCTTGGGATGCAACCTTTGTACTAACTGGGGCCATATTTCCTTTCAGGCAACCTTTGTACTGAGAAGTTCCTTATTAGCTGGGCCATATGTACTTCCAAATACTTGGGAAATCATAATTTTTACTGGTGTCATGGTCCATGAAAGATAAATCTAGGCCATGTTGGACTACATCCCCTCTGATAAGCTCTTGCCCACCATTCACAAATTCATAATCTCATTTCATATTTGGAATATTCTGCAAGCACCCACCCCACTTTTCTTGTCCACATAAAAAATGGTAGCTTTTGTGGTTTCAACTTCGAACATACTTGTCTTTCCAGGCCCTCCCATATGTGGAAATAGGTACTGTTCATCCTGTGCCATTTTTTAAGCCCATCACTCCACTGTTTTTCTGGTGCAATTTAGAAATTTATTGGTAAAAACAGAATCAGATTCATCCAGCGAATAACTTTTTAAAACCCAATACAAAGCATACAGTGAATAATATGTTGGTTTTTTCTTTTTTTCGTCAACACACGTCTACAAGAGGAGCCAAGTAAGGGCAACACCACCAACAAGTCCAAAGAGGCAAACCTAAAGCGAATGAACAATTACAAAATTCATATCATTAAGCATGATCTCAAACTAAGCTCGCAAAACCCGAAACAACCCGTAAACCGAAATAAACATCACTGCCAACACCTTAAGTAACATTGCCGTCACACTTTCTGCATCTAGACTTGAAAGAAAATGCAAAACATGAGCGAGCTTGGAGAAAACTTGGTCTCCATGCAAACAAACATCCAAATCACATACCTATAGCAAAAAAACATCCAGACAATTGCAACAATCTCCTTCAAATATGAGGTAGAATCATGAGGGTTCC